AGTCTCCCCAGACATTGGGCCAACCAAAACACACCCTCATCAATACCCAAAATACCCTGAAGGGGGCAGCACCACTCCCTTTGAGAATCACCACTCCCCAACCCAAAACTGGCTGAACCCAGGATGCGTCAGCCTGGGTGGAACCCTGCAGGGCTCAGCCCTGTTCCCACTCTCTCGGTGGAAATCTCAGTCCAGACCCCTAAGAAGGGAAGCCACAGAGGAGGCTGCAGGCATGTAAGCTGATACCTGCAACAGCCAGCTGGGTACACTGTCCCCATGCACTGCCTCCAAGAATAACGTTTGTACGTGAGGGTGTGAGCAAGAGGGACTCACACGCCCCTAATGGCCTCCAGCTGCTGCCAGCCACACTGTGCCCAGGGCACAGCCACGCCAGACCGGGCCCTGGGCTGCCTGCCCAGGCCGAATCCAAACTGAACTCAGCCGCCAGCTCCCTGAAGCCACATCCACAGTGCGGAGGCAGGAGACGTGGCTTCTGATCTCAGTTCTGCAGTGGACTCGCTGTGTGACCTGGGAGAGGTGCTTGACTTCTCCGGGCTTTATGTCCCCTTCTGTGATGAGAGTGAGCCAAAATTCTCTTTTTTTGCCCTGAAAATTTTTATTACAAGGAAAGATGAATCAACACAGGAGGAAAATGCTCAAGGGACTCCTGGAAGCCCATCCCTAGTAAAATGGTAGCCAGTACCCTGTAAGGAATAAAATGGGTCATTTTATAATCAGGACATGAATTTCTTGTGCACTGATGACCAGTGATTGGTGCACTAGAAAAGAAATTTAAGCTACACAGCAAGAAAGAGGGTCTGCAAGAGCCTCTGTGGAATGAATGGGCAGCTGAAAGTGAAACGGCCCAGCACTGGAAAGATAAAATGAGACCTGGTGTTAAGAGCCTTGAACATCAGGCTTAAAGGAGCTTGTAGACAGTAGATCAAGATGTCAGACCCAAGAGTGTTTGACTCATTCATTCATTCATTCATTCAGCAAGTATGTTTTTGTTTGGGGGGGGGGGGTTGCCAAGAAAGTGTCCAGCTCCTTTTTTTAGAATGCTTTTTTATTGTAGTGAAGGCCTCATACTATAAAACATCCTACTTTAACCATATTTAACTGTGTAGTTCGCTGGTACTAAGTACATTCATATTGTTTGTAACTCTCGCCATCCTCTCTCTCCTGAGTTTTTTGCCTTCCTAAAGTGAAACTCTGTCCTCATTAAACCTAAATCCCCCTTCACCCCACCTCCCCACCTCTTTCCCCGCTCCCCTGGCCCCTGGCATCTAACAGCGTACTTTATGAATGTGACTGTTCTCAGTACCTCCTGTAAGTGGGATCAAACAACGTTCTGTCTATACCTACTGCATATTGGGATGCATTTTTAACGTTAATGTAATATAGTCTTTCAGACTGTACTTTTTTCCCCTGTGCCATACGCTAGGCGCTCATTAGTTATTATCTCTTTTCTACACGGTAGTGTGTATATGTCAGCAGCAACAGACACAAGCATGTTCTGAGAGCATCCTGCCTGCCCAGCACTCGAGGAGTGAACAGGCAGATAAGCTCTCTGCTGGGAGCTTGCAGTGTCATGGCGGAAGACAGAAATTACAGAAACAATTCACACGTTCACGAGATGATTCCAAACAGCGAGAGGCAGTAAGAAAACAGAAGACTAGCGACGTGGGGGCAGGGGGGGGTAATTTCAAAAGGGGGGCTAAGGAAGGCTGAGACCCGAAAAAGGAGAAAAAATACTAATCGTGCAAAGGTCTGTGGGCAGAAGGCTCCAGACAGAAGGACCCCAGTGAGCGCTGGCCTGGAGGTGGAAAGAGAGAACGGGGCCTCTGGGGGGTGTGGCACGAGGTGAGGTCAGAGGGAAGAAAAAGCACTTAGTTCAGGGGCTCGTGGACCATGATGATGGAGTCTGGGTTTTATTCTAAGAGCCATGAGAAGCCACTAGAGGATTTTTTATATTTTTAAAAGATGATCTGATTTACATGTTTAAAATATCACTCAAGCTGGTCTGGAGAGGGTAGATCATAGGTTAGAAAGAGGCTGAGGGATCCCCAGGAGGCCTGGGCTGGGATTCTAGCAATGGGACCAACAGGCTGGTTGGAATGGAGTGGGTGTCCAACAGGACACGCCCATGGGCTGTGCACGGAGGTCAGTGGAAAGGATTGCTCCTTAGATGGGCCCAGCGGTCTCCTAAGCCCACGTGGTGTCTGATGGTCTTCACGCACAGTTCCACACTTCGCAGAACCAGGAACTCACCCTCCAGAGCAGCAGATTCAGACATGATGGAGAACCCCTCCCAGATGGTATGGCATTTTGCCTTCCTGGGACATCTACCCCATGTTCGTTCTCATTCTCCCCTCCAAAGGCACAAGAAGGAGAACCAATTCCTTTTCCTCAGAACTCTCCCCAGAGGTTTCGAGACTTCATCCTCCTCCTGCCTCTTCTTGCTCCAAAAAAATGAATTTTCCTCTTGGGGGCCAGAGGAAGGACTTCCACAAGCTGGCCTTCCCGGATCTTCCCACTTCTCGCATCATTTGTCTCAGCGTCCTCTCCCCCCTCATATCCCCATCCCCCATCCATTCATTAAACACACACGCACACACACATGCACACACACCTCCACGAGGGGAAGGTTGCTGTTCTCTTTTCGTCCTCATCTCTGTCTGCCCCCTAGTGCCTGTCCAGCCAGTGAAGTTTTCAGAAGGGAAAATCGAGGTTTCAAACCCATTGTTTCTGAGCTGATCCCAGAGCAGTGACTCCCCCGACTTTCCAAATCCCGGCTGTAAGGCGGTTATGCTAAGCCCCCGGCTGACAGCATCTCAGGACGGAATCCGTGATCAAGAGCTTGGCATTGGATCATGGGGTTCTCTCCTCCCACTCCTCAAATTTTCTGGATGGGTGGAGATGATGCTCTTCTTGCCCTAAAAGGGTTTATCTCAGCCTGTCAGTTTCCGGTGTGGATCACCCACTCAAAGACTGTTTCCAGCCAGTTACATCTCCTTTGCCATCAAACATTGGAGAAATTAACAGAGGCTAATGGACTTAAGAAGCCCCCAGTGCCAAGAGCAGACGGTTGACAAAGAGGCTCCGGAGCTACCCACCTCTTTTTTCCTGTTCTCTCCCGTCTGTCATTGGTTCTATTAGCTGAAAAGCCCTATTTAGCCAGGCTGCAGTTCCTATTTTAGGGCCTACCAGGGTTCCCCCAGGGAAGATCACCAGTGGGAGAAAAGGGCTTTTTGAAGATTACATATGAGCAAAAAGAGAGAGCCTTTGAACACTGATGGAGATTCTGGGCTTCAAACTCCAGCCAGTGCTGCGGATCTCACGGAAAAAATAAATGGGCTAAAGGGAAAGAGATCAAGGGGAAAAGTAACCATTATAAGAATTAGAGGAATTCAGACCTGGCAGGAGTGCAGAGAGTCCTGAGAATCAGGAGCCCCAGTGACTGTCCAGGCTCTGTTCTTGCTGTGGGAACTTTTGGCTAAGAGAGTGTCTCTGTGAGCCTTTTTTACTCGGTACCTACCAGTTGATAAACACCTCGGGCTAAGTACTGTGCCGGGTAATGGGGATTCCAAGACAACCAGAGGCTCTCCAGAGCTCACAACTCCGTGGAGCAGCCAGGAAAAAGGATAACTGCAACATCATGTGACAAGGGTCTCCCCACTGGTACAATCAGCAGCTTTTATAGATGGAAAATAATAACAACAGTGAAAGTGAAAGTCCCTCCTCCATCATCCCCTCCTCCCTCCCTCCCTCCTCCCCTCCTCTTCCCTCCTCCCTCACTCCCTCCTCCACTGCTCCCTCCTCCCTCCTGCCTTGCTCCTTCCTCCCTTGATCCCTTGATCCCTTGCTCCCTCCTCCCTCCTCCCTCGCTCCCTCCTCCCTCCTCCCTTGCTCCCTTGATCCCTTGCTCCCTCCTCCCTCCTCCCTCCTGCCCTTGGGGCACAGGCACACACTGCTGTCCACCCTGGAGCCTCAGATCTAAGACCATCCTGCTCTGTCCTGGTTCACATCAAGCACCCAGACGATCCCCGCCTGCTCAGGGCCCTTAAACCCACCGGGCTCTGTGTCCCCACCTAAACACCCCCACATCCTCAGCAGTCACCTCGACCCTCAACTCAACTACTGCAAGCATTCACCTTCTGGCTCCAACTGAAATCTGGTCTCCTTAGGAACACTCTTCCCACATCCTGATTCCTTTCCCGCATCCCCTCTGCAGTGCTCCTTCCTGCTCCTCACTGTCACTTCCGGAACAGTGCTCCCTCCCGAAAGGCCTCCAGCCCTGAAGCCTATCCCTTCACACCAGCAGTAGAGAGCCCTCCCACTGGGGCCATCCTCAGACCCAAAGGCCACTGTCCCTGACTCCCCAGAGTCTTTCCCTCCTGGCTCACTGGCACGCTTTCCTAGCCAGACTTAGTTTCGGTGTCCACCTAAGCGCTCCTCTCAACAGCATGCTCTGTCATTCTCTGTCTCCCTCTCAGGCAAGAACCATGCCTCAGTCACTCCATGCTGTACTCATATCTGTCCCTTGTCATTGACAATAATCATTCTCACACCGTAACCTCAGCTTCAAGAATCCCATTCTCTAGGCTCCAGTCACCCTGAGATCAATGATTCTTCTACCTAGGTTCTAAGGTCCCTTCATTCTGCCACCTTTTCACTGCCCTTTACCCCACACATGCATATTTTCCTCTCTGTCCAACTAAGGTGATCAATCATTAGCATCATCATCGCCACCACCAGGATCATCTTCATCATCATCATCATCACCAACACCACCACCTTCATCACTGTCACCATTACCATCATCACCACCATCACCACCATCTTCACCATCCACATTATCATAATAATGACACAACCACCATCTTCATCACCATCATCTTTATCACCATCACCATCACCACCACCATCTTCATCATCAGTATCATCTAATTCCATTACCCTTGAGGCAGGTGGTGCATTCTAAAAACTGACTGCAACAATACCTCCCACCTCACATGTACTTTGAATGTGACTTTGACACTCCTCTAATTAAGAAATAGGTTTCTGTGTCCTACCCTTGAATCTACAGGGGGCTATGACTATGGCAGAAGTGATGCCAAGACTATGTCATAAAAAGAGAGAGAGCATCTGCCTGGCTTTCCTGGGACACTCACTCTTGGAGCCCAGCTAGCATGCCATGAGAGGTCCACGTGGAAAGGATCTCAGGCCCTCTGCCCAGTCCCAGACGAGCTCATGGGTGACAGACCGCGCCATTTTCCCAGCCACGTGAGTCACCGTCTGTATTAGGTCCCTAGGGCTGCTGTAACAAGTTAACACCAATTGAGTGGCTTAAAGCAGAAATTTACTTGCTCACAGCTCGGAAGGCTAGAAATCCAAGGTGCCCACAGGGCTAAGCTCCTTTGGAAGCTCTCGGGGAGAATCCGTTGTTTGCTCTTCCAGCGCCTGAAGCTTGAGGCCTTCCCTGGCTTGTCGCTGCATCACTTCAGTCTCTTCCCCTGTGGTCACACTGTGTCCATCACTTCTTTATGTCAAAACTGCCTGTTTCTCTCTTACAGGAACACTTGTAATTGTGTTTAGGGACCATGCAGATAATCCAAGATAACCTCCCAGTCTCAAGACTCTTAATCACATTTGCAAAGACCTCTTTTCCAAATAAGGTAACATTTACAGCTTCCCAGAATGAGGGTCTGGTATCTTTAAAGGGCCCTTATCTGTTATCCGGCTACTAGTTGTTGTTCACTTGTTAAGTTGTGTCTGACTCTTTGCAACCCCATGGACTACAGCAAGCCAGGCTCCTCTATCCTCTACTGCCTCCCAGAATTTGCTCAAATTCATGCCCACTGAGTCGGTGATGCCATCCAACCATCTCATCCTTTGCTGTCACCCTCTCCATTTGCATTCAGTCGTCCCCAGCATCTGGTCTTTTCCAGTGAGTCGGCTCTTTGCATCAAGTGGCCAAAGTACTGGCACTACAGCTTCAGCATCAGTCCTTCCGATGAATATTCAGGGTTGATTTCCTTTAGGATTAACTGGTTTGATCTCCTTGCAGTCCGAGGGACTCCTTAAGAGTCTCCTCCAGCGCCGCAATTTGAAGCATGAATTCTTTAGCTCTCAGCCTTCTTTGTGGTCCAGCTCTCACATCTGGACATCTGTCTACTACACCATCTTAAAAGGGGATCCTCCATTCCCCAGTCAAACCGCCCCAGCTGAGGAGAGACTGTTTCCCACCAAAGCCCTGCCAAAAATGGGAGATTCGCTTAAAAATGAATGATTGTTGCTGTTTTAAGCCTCTAAGTACTGGGGTGGTTTGTTACACAGCAATAGATAACTGTTACAAGCCTCAACAACCTTGTTGGTTTCTTGCCTCATTATGCTTGCTTGTTTAATCCGACTCTCTGCCTGTTTTCAACATGTACCTGGCAGCTGAATATGATAATAGGGAAAACACACAGCCCTGCTGACTCTGCCCACGCTGAACCCACAGCCTCTAAGCCAAAATGGGCTCCTGGGGGAGAGGGGTGGTGCCCAGCCATCCGACTACATTTCCCTAACAAGAATCATCCTCCCAAACCCCATTTCACCCCTTCTTTCAACGTAAACCTTCATTCTTCCTCCCCAGACTTAGCCTCAGCTGATGTCTTTGATTCCTATTTCACTGAGACAATAGAAGCGATCAGAAAAGAACTCCCGCAAGTTCCTCCATCACATCCGTCAACCACGTCCACCCACACTCACTGATTGCCCTCCTGCTACTATGGATGACCTCTCAATGCTCCAGGCCCAACTCGGGCCCACTAATCAGTCCCCAAGGACACCACTCACCCTCCCCCATCTCCTGCATCATCTCTTCTGCCTCTCCCTGTATAATTCCCATCAATGCCAGATATGTTTTATTTCTCCCATTTTCTCTAGCGACCTACTTTCCTCCTCCCCTTTGAAATAAAAGAATGGTTCATACTCACAGTCTCTAATGCCTCTCCTCCCATTCTCTCTTGAATCCAATCAGGCTTTCCACCCAACATTGAACTGAAAATAACCCTTATCAAGGTTATCCAGTGTTGCCAAGTCCTGGGTCCTTTGTTACCCCTGATAAATATGGGTTTCTTGGGGATTCTGTCACAAATTACCACAATCTAGGTGGCTACATCAGGAAGTCTGGAGGCTAGAAGTCTGCAGTCAAGGTGTTGGCAGTGTCATGACCCCTCTGAAGTTTCCAGAAAGAGTCTTTCCTTACCTCTTCCAGCTTCTGGTAGCCAGTAGCCTTCCTTGGCACCCCTGGGCTTGGAGCTGCATCACTCCAACCCCTCTACCTGCCTTCATCCTTACCTGGCCTTCTGTCCTCTGTGCATCTCTGGTGTCCCTTCTTCTTCTTGTAAGGACAGCAGTCATTGGATGTAGGGCCGATCCTAATCCAGTATGACTTCATCTCAACTTAGCTAATTCCATCTGCAAAAACTCTATTTCCAAATAAGGTCACATACTGAGGTTCCAAGTAAATATGAATTTGAGGGGATGCTGTGTTAGTCGTTCAGTCGTGTCTGACTTTTTGGAATCCCATGGACGTTAGCCTGCCAGGATCCTCTGTCCATGGGATTTCCCAGGCCAAAATACTGGAGTGGGTTACCATTTCCTTCTCCAGAGGATCTTCCCAACCCAGGGATCAAACCCGGGCCTCCTGGTTTGGTGGGCAGATTCTTTACCGTCTGAGCTACCAGGGACACTATACCACCACAATAGCAACATACATCACCGCTGGTCACTCCCTCTTGGAAACACTGCTTTCTTTCTCTTGGCTCCCAGGCATCCCATTCTCCAGGTTTTCCTTCAACCAAAATGCACACCCCTTCTCAGTCTCCTTTGCTGGGCGCCCCTTGTCTGTCTGAGTGCCCCAAGCTTAGTCCTCCGAGGCTGACCTTCTCTTCCCACAGCCCTTCCCTAGGCGTTGCTGTTGTGCTTCAGTCACTAAGTCAGGTCCAACTCTTTTGCGACCCCATGGACTCTAGCCTACCAGGTTCCCCTGTCCATGGAATTCTCCAGGCAAGAATACTGGACTGGGTTGCCATTTCCTTCTCCAGGGGATCCCTCCAGCCCGGGACCGAACCCAAATCTCCTGCATTGCAGGCAGATTCTTTACTGCTGAGCCTTCGGGGAAGCCTCCTTCCCAAGGTGATCTTCTCCAATTTCATGGCTTTAAATCCCTGGATACTGACAATTCCAAATTTCCTACAACCAGCCTCCACCTCTCTCATGAATTCTAGACTCATACACCCACCTTGGATGTCTAAGGACCATCTCAAAATTAGTATACTTTAAATTTTTTAAATCTCAACTCTTCTTCCATCCCAAAAGGAAAAAAAAAAAAAAAAACTGTTACATCCACAGAATCTCTCGTCTCACTAATTGGCATTTCTCGGGTCATAAAACAAAGTTATTCATGAGTCTTCTCTTTCTCACATCTCACTTCCAAATGCAACAACAAATCCTGCTGCCATCACTTTCAAGGTATATCCCATACTCAGTCATATCCCACAACGCGCTTACCACATTCTGATCTCACCCACCGTCACCTTGGGGTCAGAAGACCACAGCCCATCAGCCAAACCCATCCTCCTATCTGTTTTTCGAATAAAGTTTTACAAAACAGTCACACCCATTTGCTTCCACATCGTCTGTGGCTACTTTTACGTTCCAAGGGCAGGATGGACTAATTGCAACAAAGACTACAAGGCCTGCAGAGCTGAACACATTTACTACCTGGTACTTTATTCAAAGAGCGTCCCAGGTGGCGCTACTGGTAAAGCGCCCAGCTGCCCATGCAGTAGACACAAGAGACATGGGTTGGTTCCCTGGGTTCAGAAGACCCCTTGGAGGGGGGCACGGCACCCCACTCTTGCCCTGAGAATCCCATGGACAGAGGAGCCTGGCAGGCGACCATCATGGTCTCCATGGGGTCGCAAAGCGCCGGACACAATTGAAGCAACTCAGCACACACAGCACTTTATTCAAAAGGTTTGCCAGTCCCTGGTCTGGACTATTACAGTCACGGGGCTCCCTCCCTCCACCTTTGCCCACAGATGGTTGATTCTCAACCAGCAGACAGGGCGTCACTTTTTAAACCTGAGTCAGCCCCTGCTAGTCCCCCGTTTAGAATTATTCACTGCCTGTTTGTCTCACTTCCCCTCGCCCAGCCGGCCCTCAGCTCTCACCTCCAGCCACATCTCGGCTTTTCTCTCCAGCTACCCTCTGTCTCCAGTTTCTCCAGCCACGCCAGACGTGTTCCTGCTCCCAGAACACTCCAGGCATGCTCCTAGCTCCAGGCTTTTGCATTTTCTCTTTTCCCCCCAGATTCTCATCATCCTCATCAGACTCACCTGGCAATTCACATGACCTCAGGAGACCTTTCCGGTCCTCCGGTGTGAAATAGCACCGCCCACCCAAGCTCGCCCCCTCCCGCTCCCTCTGCTCCACTTCCATCCACAGAGTTTCTCGTCAGAGGCCATGCCCCTTTCTACCTGTTTGGTTATTACTTCTTGCCTTCCTGCAGTCTGCCTTCTGCGTGATACACATCATCGCACCCCCAGCACTTAGCTCAATGCCTCGAACATAGTAGGTACTCTGGAAAGATGTGTTGGATGAGAGAAGGACCGAAAGAACGAATGTTCATTCTGCAGGTCAGTCCCTGCACTAAGCTACCCTCACAATAGCCTGTGAATAAGCACCGAGGCAAAGAGCCCAGAGGCCCCTGGCCAGGGCTCAGAGTCAGGTGTGACACCAAAGCTCTCTGCGCTCCTCATCTCCACCTCCTAAAATTGTGCTTTTCTGTATATTTTAGATGATATTTTCACCTGTAAGGTCACAGTGCTAGCAACCCAAGTGTCCAGTGCTGGATGAATGGGTAAACAAAATGTTGTATAGACATGCCATGGAATACTGGCGGCGGTGGTGCTTTAGCCATTCAGTCGTGTCCGACTCTTGCGACCCCATGGCCTGTAGCCCACCAGGCTCTTCTGTCCATAGGCTTCTCCAGGCAAGAATACTGGAGTGGGTAGCCATTCCCTTCTCCAAAGGATCTTCCCGACCCAGGGATCAAACCTAGGTGTCTTGCACTGCAGGCAGATTCTTTACTGACTGAGCTACCAGGGAAGCCCCTGCAATGAATTATTACCAGCCTTAAGAAGGAGGAATATTTCGACACACGGTGCAACATGGGTGAACCCAAAAGACAATGATGCTACATGAGATAAACCGGAGATAAAAAGACAAATTTTATATGATTCTATTTATACGTGGTATCTAGAGTCGTCAAAATCATAGAGACGGGAAATAGAGAAGTGCTGGCCAGGGCTGAGGAAGCCAAGGGCGATTGTTTCATGGGTAGAGGGTTTCAGTTTTTCAAGGTGAAAAGAGTTCTTGCTGGCGATAGTTGTGCAACAATATGAATGTACTTAATCACACTGAGCTGTACACTTTAAATGGTTGAGATGATTGATTTTATACAATGTTTGTTTTACTCTGATTTTTTTTAAAGATTGTAGTCTTCCTCATTGCAAGCAGACAAGAAGGTCTAACTTTTCAGTTTCCAGAAGAGGAACGTGAGGGTCAGAGCACAAAGCCCGAGCTGCTGGAGGTTAGAACTTGAACCCAGGCCTCTCCAGCTCCTCCCCATCGTGTCTTCTGCTAAGGCAGTGGGAGGATTTCCCTGGATGTATGTACCACACTTCAGATGACGGGAAATTTATTTTTTCCATTCCTAGGCACCCCTGGAGACCTCTTTCCTCCAGCCCTGAGATGGGGTGGGACAAAGTGAACACATCACAGAAACTGTCTCAGAAGAACCAGCAGGAGAGGTGGGGGATGGGAGAAGTTCCTGTATTAGCATATGCAAATTGGCCAGAGTAAAGAAAGCTGGGAAAGCTGCTATTTTATCATTTGTGGTAATTATAGTAATTTAGAGTGGTGAATCAATGGGATCCTGAAGGTAAAAGCATCTCGGAAGGATAATGTGGTGTGATTAAGAAGTTCTGATTAAGAACCGCTGTCATTTTCACCCAAAAAAAGTGAGGAAAGAGACCGAGGTCAGGAGTGCAGTGACCTGAGTCATGTAGGTGGGGACCTCAGCCTGCCAGGCCCTGTCCCCACTGCTGAAGACACAGAGAGAAATCGGAATGTCCCCGGAAGGTCCCTGCCCCTTGACATTCACAGAGAAAACACAGCGTGGAGAAGGTCCACTCAAAGATACCGCGAGAGATGCCGTGAATACACACGTAACGGAGCATCGAAGAAGGAGCCATTAACTTTGTCTGAGGGAAAGACTGGGAGAGTTTCAGATAAAACGTGCTGTCTGAATAGGGTTTTGCAGTATCAATAGGAGTTTGTGACTGACAGTAGCCCAACGGGATTTGCAGGTGGAGGTAACAGCATGCGAGAAGGGTTGGAATAAAAGTACCTTTAGAGAACCCCAAGGAGGAAGTGGAGAGTGAAGATTTGCAGCTTATAAAACTGGAAACACTGGCAAAGCTGTTGCAGGGAGCCTGGACATGATTCAGTCACGGATGGGAAGATAAAGACGGGGCAGAGGAGGGGTGTGACCATCCTGACTTTTAGGAAAACTGGGTGAGGGAGCCAAGGAGTCGTGCGATACACCAGCGGCAGTGTCAGAGGGGTGAGGACAGAGGGACAGGATTCCGGAGGTCAGACGAGAACAGAACAACCCACTGACCCAGGAGTCAGGACACAGCCAGCTGGGAACTTCACAGGTCACAACTGCAAGGGACCTGAGCTACCATCTGCCTCAACTCCCATTTTGCAGATGAGCAAGTTGAGGCTCAGAGAGGCTAAGGCACCGGTGCGAGGTCTCCCAGCTGGTAAGCAGCAGAGCAGGCATTTGGCACCAGGCCCATCTGACTTTAAAGCCTGAGCTGTCTGCTGCCCCGCGAACCTCTGGATATAAGACAGAACGGCCAGTCATCTCAAGCTCAGGTCGTGGAGCTGACAGTGGGTGCTGCCTTCCATGCTGTGGGCATTGAGAGCGGCAAGCTCAGGGGAGACCGTGTGGTCAAGCCCCCGAGGACTGTCCTGTGGTGCCGGGGGACATTTTACTCCCACGCACGTCCCAGGAAATCCAGTCACTGTCCGGCCCAGAGAACAGAGGAACAATCTGACTTGTCCGCCTTATGAGAGTGAGTTCCCTGTCCCTCTGGGTATGCCAGCCAAGGCTGAGCACCCACCTGCCTTGGATGCTCTAGAGAGGATGCCTGCACCCCGAGAGATTTTTAAGGTGACTTTGAACTCTCAGGCTCTATGGTCTTTGCAGGCTGAGACACAACCCCACACAACCCAAGCACCCTTTAATGAGCTGTTGCTGAGGAATCCTTTATTAATCCATTCACCAGCAGAGTATTTAGGAAGACTCTTTGGTGGGAGGAACACAGAAGGAGACCAAGGATTCTTAAGTGTACCTAACACAGCTTTACTTAAAGGATGACCGAGGAGTGGGTGTCAGCAGAAGAAACAGAAAAGGCTAAGTCCCAGAGGCAAGAGAGAGAACAAAGGTGCATCTGGAAGGCCACAGAAGTGGGCATGGCTGAAGGCAGCGTGCGGCAAGCAGAGGGCTGGTCAGAGAGCAGGCTGCAGGCCGGGAGGGCCACGGAGAGCTGCGAAGGGGTGGGCCTCTGATCAAGTTCCCTCTGACAGCCACGTGGAGTCCATGTGACTCATCCCTTAAGACTATTTCACATCAGAAGGAAAATAAAAGTCTTCCTTCGCTCCCAAACAGCAGTGCAGGGCAGGGATATCTCCATCACAGTCTGGGGCAGAGGTCTCCTCTGCCTCAGGACCCCAGAGCCCCCGGCAGCCATCCCGGAGCTGGGGGCTGCCTCCCACCGAGGTCCACGGCGGCCGGGCCCGCCAAGCCTTGGCCCACGTGACCCTCCGAACGCCGGTCCCCCACACGAGGCCTCGGCCGGCCTCACCACTGACAGATGGAGCGTTTGTTGACGCTCCGGTGACAGCTTGAAAACTCATCTCCTCCCTCCGAGCCGGCCCGTTCCACCTCGTCCTCCCATCTGCCATCTCATTTGAAAACTAGCAGAACAACTCGGCTAGAGCAATTCCGACTTTTTCCATCTGTGCCGAGTTAATTAAGAGGGTAATGAGAGCTGGGAATGAACGAGGTCTGCATTAATTCAAGATATGATTAAGAGAAGCATTTCTAAAATGTGTGTGTGTGCGCACGCGCACAGAGCAAGGCCCAATGGGTTGGATGTGTCCCCAGGTCAAGGGCACCCGCTGTGTCCTTGGTGGGCGGGCTCTGAAGGGAAACCCACCTGCTCAGAGCAGGTGCCACCATGACCATGAGCTCCCAGAAGCCCCCGGGGTCACAGAAGGGAAGACGGAGACCACCTTGGTGTCTGCTCCCCACTCCACAAAGCAGCTCCACAAACGTGGGCTCATCACCTAGTTTGTGCCTGACCCAGTGAACACAGAGAGCATGGTAACTAGCGTTTCTCTTTATTATGACAATGTCATTTATCGATTGGGACTCCCCCGGTGTCTCAGACAGTAAAGAATCTGCCTGCAATGCAGGAGACCTGGGATTGATCCCTGGGTCAGATCCCTGGGTCAGGAAGATCCCCTGGAGGAGGGCATGGCCACCCACTCCAGTATTCTTGCCTGCAGAATTCCATGGACAGAGGAGTCTGGCGGGCTACAGTCCATGGGGTCGCGAAAAGTCGGACACAACTGAGCGACTCACACTTGCACCTTTTCTTGGCATTTATCGATGACCTAACCACTTATCTAATATAGTTTCAGATACATCAAAAAGTCACAGAAGACCAACAGAATATAAAGCTGAGATCGGAACCCAGGTCTTGTGACTCCTAGTCCAACGGGCCTATGAGCAAAAGAGCAGTGCAAACACATACTAATAGCCAATCTTCATTGAGCATTTACTATGTGTCCGCAATTGTTCTAAGCACTGTTTGTGTATCATTTCATTTAATTCTCACAAAGACCCTAAAAGGCAGATACTATTGATATCATCCCCATTTTATAGATGAGGAAACCAAGGCTCAGACAGACTAACAGCCTCATCCAAGATGCCACTATGAGGAAGCAGCAGAGATAGGATTTTTATGATGTCAAAATCAAGCTATCCCACTGAATAACGCCAGCCCCTGGGCTCAAGGAGACAGACATCTGTGATGTTGTAGGGGCACAGAGAAGGGGGACTTTATCTGACCCTGTGTGAGGAGGGGAGGGGGAGCCAGAGGAGGCTTCCTGGAGGAGGGGACAGCCAAGTAAATTCTGAAACGACTCAGATTCAACCATTGTATACTGAGTGTCCACTGTGTGCCGAGGAATCCTCCAGCTCTTTCACGTCTCACTGAACTTGCCCAGCCCTTGGGATGGAAGCATCCGCGTGACCAAGAAGGAAACCAGTGGGGTTCAGGGAGAGAACCACCGCCCAGGGCCTCCCGGCTTCTGAGCGAGGGCAGGACGCGTTCTGATTTTCTGATTCAGCTGCGGATGCCGGGTCCTCAGGATGGGAGATGCTGAAATGGAGCGAGATGCCGAGGGCAGCGGGAGTGGTGGCCTGAGGAAGCTGAAGGGGCTGGGGTCGCAGGACCCTTCCCCATTCCAGGCGTCTGCACACCCAGGTTCTATCTAGTCTCTGCTGTCCTGCCAGCCCAACTTAAGACCTCGGGCAATCCTGCGGCCGCCCCTGTCTGCACCTTGGAATGACTAAACTCTTGGATGCATGGGTCACATCCACACCCACTGACCTGGCCCAGGGCAGAGCCATCTTTTCTCAGCTGAGCCTGACTGCGCACCACCTCAGAAGTGAACTCCTGCTGCCTCTCCAGCCCGGGGGACCAAGGTCACATGCTGAGACCCACCTTCAAGGCCCCGCATAATCCATCCCCAGCCTCCCCTTCCCCTCCGAGGCTCCCCCAATCCCACGCCCCTGCAAGTCATCGCCAGCCCCTGTGTTCTTCCCCTGCCCCCGCCCCCTCCCCGAAGTCATTCTTGACTCCTCTTCAACCCTCGTGACCACTGACTGTCCCCGTGCTGTGCCCCGCAGACTGCCTCCGAGATACTTCTCGCCTACCCCACCCCCAGACCACCTGCGGCTCCACACTGCCATCACCCTAGCCCAGGCCGCGTCTCTTCCCTCGGCAGAAGGCCACGCTCCGCTCCAGGGACGCTCTCCCTTCCACCCTCTCCTCCGGGCCCCTCTCTGCTCCTCCTGTAACAACATTTTTTTTCTTTTTTACACAAATGGTATTTTATTACAGAAGAGCATCTAATTTAAAAAATCAATACACATTTCAAGGAAAACATTGAGGCACCATAAAAAGATGCCCGAATATAAAATTTTCAAAGTGCAAAATTCAGCGAGGAAACACACAGGAGAACCTAGGTTTGGACTATGTTTATTTCTGTGCCACTGTGAAGGCAAAATAAAACTCCCAGAGCCAAGAATGCAAGAAGATCTTAAGAATGTAACAGAAGCAACTCCACACACGGCTTTCAATAGTCTGGTGTATGCAGGAATGCTTCCTTGAGACCCAGGAGTGCTTGCTCTTCGGGAGGAGAGGAGTGACCTTGTTTCTCCTGCTGCCTCTTAAGGACCTGCTGCTGCTCCACAATCTGCTGCCTCTGATGGTGGACTCTCATGAGCTTCTGGGGCTTGCAAGGATGCTCAGCTCCCCAACACAGACACATCAGGTACTGGATTGTTTGTTTATTGTATTTTTCAGTGATCACGTCAATTTTCCAACAACAGAATGGAATGCAAGGAAATGAACAGCTACCACCCTCATTCCCA